TTTTTTTTGTCCCCCTCCGGTGCCCCCTTGGGCAAGGGTGGATTTTTTTTCTTTTCCCTTTTTTTTTTTTTTTTTTTTTTTTTGCAATAGACTCAAAAGAGCAGAATAAAAAGTTTTGACACATTCGCAAAGTCAGTGCTGAAACCAGCCGGGTCCTGGGCGGCCAAGAACAGTGTTTGTGCCAGCCCCTGCCCGCAGCCCTTCTGCTGTCTCCAGACCTTTCCCCCTGCACCCTGCACGCTCCTGTGGCCGCGCTCCACCACTGGCACCTTGCTCCGGATGAGCATCCTCCAGCCCCCTCCGCGATGGTGGGGCTGCCCCAGCCTGCCCTCACCTTGGCAAGGAGGGAGCCCACGGATAAGGAAGAGGTTGTGCCACCGCTGCTGCAGCATGAGGACTTCACAGCGCTGCCTCCAAGGCCCCAGCCATGCATTTGAGAAGCAGCATGGGAAGGAAAGCTGGCTCCGGCTTCCACCAGCCCCATAGAGCAGTGGGGAGCCCCCTCTCATCTCTGATTTCAGGGTTTACCTCCCCCCAGGAGTATTTACATGCTGCTGCCCAACATGCCCCAGGTACGATGCTCATACCCAGGCAATGCAAACGGGGCTGGTCCAGGCTGAGGGAATGGGGAAGGGGCATGAAGCACCAGTGCATCAGAGCCCCGTGCAGCCACAGGTGCAGGGATGGGTGCTGCCGTTCCAAGGCTGCCTCTTCCGAGCTGGCAGCCACAGAGCTGTCTCTCTCTCTCTCCAAAGGGTTGCTGGTGCCAGAGCTGGGCTGGGGAGCAGGCAGCAGCACACAGCAGAGGCCATGCTCAGCTTGCTGCAGAGGGGGAGCTGGATCTCACCCCAAGTCTGTGTAAAAACCTCTTCCCTGCAGAGTGCAGTGCTTACAGGACATGGCTGGGTTGTGGTTTTGTTTGGTTTTTTTGTTGTTTTTTTAAACAGTTCCCAAAAAGCATCAAAAGTAGCCCCAAGAAAACCCCCTCCCTCATCGTCAGCTCGATCTGGTACTAAAAAGTGCAAAACTGTATCACAAAAAACTTTCAAAAGTTGTAAGAAAGCAAGGAGGGTGCAGAGGTGGCTGGGGTGGCAAGGAGGGGGCAAGGTGCCATTGCTCTGGCTGCCCTGGTCACCAGCCCCAAGAGAAAAAACAGGCCAGGGCTGGCCCCCTCCTGTCTGCCCCTCATGGCACAAGAGCTGGAGGAGAAGCAGCCACTGGCTTTGTTTTGCTGCAGTTTTGTCCTTCTTTTTTTTGTTGTTGTTTTTTTAAACCACTGAAGAATTGAGCCCAGTGGGTGGATTTCAGTTGTTCCTCCTCCCCAGGGCAGGGGTACTGGGTCCTGCAGCCAAGCATAGGACAAGGAGGGGCAGGAGCAAGTCTGATGGGGTCTAGCAGCTCCCGCAGGCAATGACCAGGGACCGTCTTGATCTGCCACCATCTCCGGCAGAGAGGCCGCGGCCTTGCATGGCTGGTGCTGGCGGCTGGGGAAGGGCTGTCAGTCCCCCAGCTCGTGCCGCAGACAGACGGACTCATGCAGGGTCTTGGTGGGCACAAGGCCTCCACCCCGGCTCCATGGGGGGGACAGGAACAGAGCTGCAGCGTGGGTGGCTGATGCCCCTGGCTTACGACTTCTGGGGGTGGCCAGAGGGCTGGCGGCTGGCGCGCTCCGAGATGTTGCGCTTCACCTTGGTGGCCGTGCCGGAGGGCTCCGCATTGAGGGAGGGGCTGGAGCGCGATTTTTTCAGGCCATCGTCCTCCCCGCCCGCTGCATCAAAGAGGGTCGACTCAAATGTTGCCAGGTCCTCGGAGCCGGCCTTCAGCTTGGCCCGCAGCAGCATGGCGTAGGTGCCGTAGCGGGATTTCTGGGGAGCACAATACAGCAGAGGGGTCAGCGAGCTGGGCACTGCCCCACAGCCAGCACCCCAGGGTGGGGTGTCCTGGACCACCGCAGTGGCACAGTGAAATTCAGCTGATGGGGATGGGAGAGGGGTTCCATCACTCAGGATGGCCAAGAGGGCAGGGGCAGAGGAGGGTCTCTCAGCTCACCTCAAACTCCAGGTACTCTTCCTTCTGCTTCAGCTCCTCGTACTCCTTGCCCTTCACCTTCTTCTCAGGCAGTGAGGAGCGATGCTCTAGCAGCTCTGCTGACATCGTCTTGAACTTGGTCTCATGGCTCTTCACCTGCTCCTCCTAGGGATGGGTGGCACCACATCAGTGCCCTACTCTGCCCTGACCCAGCAGCGGGAGCCCGCAGGGGCCAGAACAGGTATTTTTTCCTCCCCTCTTAGGTTCAGCCAGGATCTCTCAGCTTCTGCTCCTGGGTTTGTTTGGGGGCTTGTTTCTTGATATTGCAGACAAAAGCACAGGCCCTTGGGCCAATCTGCTCCCACCTCGCAGGGGGCTGGCTGCAGTCTTAAAGCAGAAAAATGTAATCCTTTCTAAAACTAGGCTGGTGGGGTTTTTTTTAATCCTTTCTGCTCTATGAATAACTGCCCTGACATGCATGAGCGTCTTTAACCCCCCCAGCCACTCACTTTTCCAGATCCTGGCCCTGGCAGGACGCTGCAAGCTGTGGTGTGGGACCACGTTCTCCTCCGTGGTCTGACTCCATCACCTGTCTCCCATGCCCACTGCCAAGAGCAAGACCTTGCTGTCCACCCCCAACCTCAGCATCCCCTTGCTCCGTGCCTCCCCAGCCATGCTCTCTCAGCCCTGCACTCTGCTTGGAGGCAGCTGGGTGCATGGCATCCCTCCGCAGGGGGCAATGCCACCAAAAGACCCAGGGGCTCTGTCCCATGCTCCCGGCTGCCCCCATGTACATGGCCCACCTGGGACAGCCTGGTGCAGGAGCTAGGCAGCAGCGGGCGGCTGAACTTCTTCTGGGAGCCGATGGCCGCAGGGAAGGGGGGTGCAGAGAACATGGCTGCCACCACATTGATGCGTGTGATCCACGAGTGCATCTGTTCAGGGTTCCTGCGGAGAAAGACCAACCCACAGATGGGCTCTAAGTGGCACTATCTGTCACAAGCTTAGAGACCTGCCCTGTAGACAAGATCCGGGTCCCCCAGGCTTGGCCCTGGCTAACCATGGCACTTGGGTCTCTGTCCTCAAAGCCCAGCACTGACACTGGTTCCCTTTCCCTCCAGAAAGGCTGGAAGAGAGCAATGAGGCTCTAAGCCTGATCCCACCCTCTGCCCCAGTCAGACGAGCCCCTGCGCCCCAGCATGGGGCCCAGCTGGTGATCATGGGGGACTCACTGTGCTTGGAAGAGGAAGATCCTCCAGTCAGCTGTCCTGAGGTAGAAGACATTGGGCCGCTTGCTGTAGTCAGATGCTCGCGTGGCAAGCGAATGGTGGATGCTAATAGCATTCTTCAGCTCCTCTTCTGCCAGCGCTTTCCCTGGCTTATACTCCTCCTGCGAATCACGGGGTGTTTCAGAGCCAGCTTAGGGAAGCACCCCACCATGAGTCAGCTCTACGAGGCCGCAGGAACTGCGGGTAGGCGCTGGCAGTGGTGGGGCTTGGAGATCACCCTCCACCAGGCTGCTGTGGGCTCTGCCTCCAGCTCATGCTACACCCACGGGAGAGGCTGCACAACCGGAGTGCATGGGCTTGGCAACAGCTCGGTGGCTGCTCCCCACCGACCCCAGCTGCGGAGCGTGTGCCTGCGGGAAACTGGATGTGCAGCCCAACCTGCTGCCCCACCAGGGCAAAGATCCTGGTACCTCCTCTCTGCCCACACAGGGCCCTCTGTCGGTGGCCACTTTCACTGCCCAGGCTGAGCCTGAGCACCCTGGGAACAGGGATGCCACCAGGTCCCCAAACAGATCAAGCGGCATAGTGCTGAGACTGCTTAGGCCAGGCTTTGCGATGCCATGTGCTGGAGCCCCTCTCTTGCTGCTGTGGGGAGCGCCATGACCTCCCCCTCCCCGGGTTGGGAATGAACCCTTTCCTTGGCACAGAGACAGGTGGCCCCGCTG